CAAACGATCAACTCCTGGCATCCTTCCTATATTTTTGTATTCTTCAGTTCAAACTCGTTGTCCACTCCCAGAAAACAAGATGTCGTGTTTCTGACCTTTATACTTCTTGCCATAGAACTAAAACATTTGAACATTCCTTTATTTCCTGATCCACTGCCTTCTGGAATTCCTTACCATCTGATATTCGCCATGTCTCATCTTTGTCCTCATTCAAATACTATATTTACCAATTCCTTCTCACATTCCAAAATGGTACAGTACAGTCATAAGTAAATTCATTAAAGTAAATTTAATGAAGTAACTCGTAGTATTTATGAAGTTTTATTTTTCCTGATTTCCGTTTTTTTTTTCAAATGTTTTTACTCTCAGTTGGTTATATATTGTCACTGAAAATATTGTATTTATTTTTTAATTTTTATGATGTAGTTTTTTACCAGATCTGGATTTTGTTTTTTGTTCATAATCGTTATTCTGAAAAGACCCTGTCCCAGAATAAAGTATATTTTCTAACTATGTCCAAAAATAAAAAAAATTAATTAGCATAATGTCCCTGAAAAACGGTCAAAGAATAAGAACAATGTAAACATGTATGTCAACTATAATTAAAATCAGCTAATAAGATTCTATATATTGTAACATTGCTAAAACTGGTCCGATTTTAAACGATTTTTTTTTTTTTTTTTTTTACTTTTGTCGAAATTAAATAACGTTTCAAAAATGGGTGTTCGATCACGTAAAGATCCATAAGGTAACCGCACATCGGAATTTTACTCGATCGCAGTGCTTTCCTTGCCTATCATCTATCTAGTAGCGGTAGGAAAGTAATAAAATAAAATATGTGTAGAAAATACAATACGCTGTATCATTGCCAATACTGGTTCAAATCCAATCAATTTTCATTAGTTTTGCAGGTAATTTAACTATCATTCAATAGATTCTATATAAATTTTACCATAGAATGTATACTTTGAGAGTTAGGTTCCAAAACATTTTCTTCATACCTATTTTTACCTGAATTTTCTAGGTAATTCTCTACATGTGAGAAAATTGGACATGTGCAAAAATTGCAAAAAAATGACTTTAAGCAGAATATTTTAGAAAAGGTTCATAAAAAAATCGTTAGAGCCGGTTCTGTGCTGCATAAAATGGAAAAACGTGTTTTTCTCTTATTGCGCAGGGAGCACCCGATTAGTTTCAAAGACATCAGTAGTTAAAATCCTACAAAAAAAAAAGAAAGAAAATCGATCAACTTGTTCCAGAGATAATCTTCGCAAGACAGACGAACGGCTGGAAATGTTTATCGGACTCAGGCGGTCCTGTAATGTAAAGATCCGTTGAAAATATATCGGTAAGTTGACCTGATCGCAATACATTCCTTACTTAATAGCAGTAGGAAAGTAAATAAAAGTATCGAGTACTTTGTAATAAAGAACTGCTTCGAAGCCATCGGTTGTGCAAGGAGATGATATCACCAACATCGCGTGTGACCACAACCTTTGGGTTATCCCGGAACCAACAGCTACACTGTAAATATATTCAATAAATCCAACTTTTTTAATGAACCTTGATTTTTAATGCAAATAATAAATCTGTATATCGAATAAAATTTCTGTAGACAAATAAATGATCAACCACGGCCGGTTTCCAACCCAAGCCCAGAACGTCCTTGGTCTAGGTCACTGTGCTGCCCCACTCAATTTTATTTTAGTAATTTATAAGTACAATTATAATACTGAAATATAAAGGATGCTCTTCATTTTTGTTTAAAGCAAGAATCAATCATTGAATTTTTTTATGATGCCACAAATATTATAAAGCATAAGAAAGAAAACGCATATCGGTTAAAGTAGGTAATATAGTCCTTAGTACAGACCCCTTTTTATCAAATTATTAACATCCGCCAGAAACTTCGTGAATAGCTTCATCTCATCGTGGGATAAAAACATTTTATTTACGAAAACTCTTGGAATTGGGTCGTTTTCAATCTGGAGATCGGCAAACTTTGTATATTTCATTAGGTACTAAAAAACCCGTAAATATCCATTTGCTTTTCAATTGGATCGTAAGATAATTTGATTACAAAGTCGAGAAAAAATATTGCAATAAAAATATAGGCCCTATATAACCTCGTTATTTTGAAATGTTGGGGGGTTTTATGCCACGTCAAACGGTACACTATTTTTGTAGGCCACCTTTTCTCCCGATTTAACAATCAAATTATGTTATGATCCAAGTGGAAAGCAAATGCGTGTTTACGATTTTTTATTAACTAATTAAATAGACAAAGTTTGCCTGTCTCCAGATTGAAAACGTCCCAATTCTAAGAATTTTCTGAAATAAATTAGTTGTGGGTTATGACGAGATCAAAATCAAAATTTACGAAGTTTCAAACGCTTGTTAATAATTTGATAAAAGGGGCTATGTACCAACGTACTATAGCACAAATTTCATTAAGATTGAAATATATACAAATTACATATTTTAATTTGAAGTAGGGTAGCTCAGTGGTAAGGCAATGACTCCCAGTACTCAAGGTCCATGGTTCGATTCTTGGCTGATGACAGATAAAAATTATTTATTTTGTTTTGCCATAGATCGATCCTGGTTTCGGGAGACCCTCCTGTAGCATACTCAGCCTCTATAAAGTGTGCGCCCATAATTTAATAATTAATTAAGGAGGAACATTTAGCGGTAGAGCGTGATCTCGATCAAATTACTCTCTGCATAACGGTTAACCAAGAAAATGTATTTCCTTACAAAGTACTGCATCAGAGACCCTTCATGAGTTGTAGTAATACAGATTTTTATATATTTTAATTATTATGATAATTGTTTAATCATATTACACTAAGAATGAATTTCTTTTTTTTTATTGAAACAGACATCAGATTAATATTTAAAATCCGAAATAAGCCGTTTCTGATGGGAGGAGAAAAACATGGATTGAGGTAATAGATTTAGAATTTTTTTTTTCAATGACTGTCACTGACCAAACTTATGATTAGCTTCACTCAACTCTAGGCCGTATTAGATGCTGAAGAAGTGGACTAAGCTTGCCCGAAACGTCCAAGTGGAAGTAGAAATAAAAATACAATTAATTACAAGTGTTGACCTACAGGCAAAGTTGTGAAGAAGAAAAAAAAATAATGAAGAAAGGTCAAGAGTATGAACGAGTAAATTTAGTTTTTATTTAAGCTGACATGTGAAGAAACAATTAATTGCCTGTATCATACATTACATAACGGATGTTTGACTAGAATGGAAGTTACACAACTCAAACGCACCTTGCGTCCATACCCGCATCACAGACCTTGCCATTCCTCAGAGCGGATGTACCCCATAAGGTTGCCCTCGTTACGGACTACGCAAACATCACAACTGTAAAACTATTTAACCGCATCTTGTTTATATAATTTATTTTAAGGGTAATTGATTATCGTTCCCAATGTGTGAAGGAATAATAAAAAGAAATTAAATATATCACTGTAATAGCTAAGACGGGTATAATATTTTGTAGTGTTTATGCATAAATGTGTCATATTAATAAAAAAAAAAAATATATATATATATATATATATATATATATATATATTTAATGAAATTAGAAATTATGAAGTACAATCTGTATAGAAAATCGGAAAATTTGACGGTTCAATCTAATTCACTCTCCACAAAAAAGTGCAAGGTGCGCCTTGAAGTTATCACTACAATAATCATAAGAAACTTTTTTTTTTTTTTTATTTGCTGTTGTTTAACGTCGCATCGACTGCCAGGGCTATTAGCGACGATCGTTCTTCTTAAATATAACTAATCAATTTTATTTTTCGGAAGTACTTCAGCGTTTTTTCAATACCAGCGTTTTCCTTGTACGGTGCCTTGTCTTCAATTTGGAGTTCGAACTTTTATTTTCCAAATAGAGTAAATTACACTACTCAAGTTGTTGGCACCTACTGCAGTTATGGTCTAGAAAAGCGCTCATTTGAAGCGGGACTCCCTCCTTCGCTGGCATTGTCTAGCATCTCCCATTACTTATTTAGTTTTATAGGTTGAAAAAATCTCCAAAGATTAGAAACCCGACAGGTGTCGCCTAGGAAGGACGTGTCTTACTTTTTTTGGCAATAATCACATATTCCTGCACAATATCATTGTATCATTGTGAAGCATTGAGATTTAATAATTTTGCTTTTTTTTTTTAATTGGGAAAGGAGTGCCGATAACTGTAAAAATATTAGCGAATACTGGCGCATAACGATATATTTTCTTTTTTAATACAAAAAAAAAAAAATAATTGAAGACACTGTATCACAATCTGTGGTATCTGCGTTAAGTGTAAAAATCATACATATGGAACCTAAAACATGTAACATATAATGTGTTTGTCAATTAGACACAAATAATGTGAGAAAATTACATTTCAAGTGATACTCATAAAAATTCACAAAATTACACTAAACACAATTTTCACAGGTGCCATACATATTTTGAAATTAGAAATCTTAACATACTTAACAGAACCGAAATTGTTGAAATAAGTACCCAGCGATTGAAAACCGGACATTTTTTAATTTTCTTAAGGGCGGGAGTACCTAGAAGGGGATTCTGTGGCGTAAGTTGTGCCATAAAAATGTTTGAGTGGGCACATTTTGAGTTTTTGAATTTTTTGGGGGGCACATTTTCACGGGGTTATGAATTTCGAAATGGAAAGTTTCAAACTAAGGGACAAGTGGGATACACGGAATAATGATGGACCGGATCAAGTGTAATTGTATATGAACTAAGACTTTTTAAATTCTACTTTCGCTTGCATTGTTTTTAAGAAGAGAAGAGCACAACATTTCTTGGTAGGGGGAGAAGGGAGGTTCATTCTCCGTCCACTTTGAGAGAAGGCTTCACTACACCAGTTGATAAATATATTGTTCAATGAGCCTTCTGGCCTGTGATATTTATATTCGATGCCTTCTACTGCTCTTCATGTTTAATATTTTAATTATTTGCTGCAGGTGCTGGCTACGATGGCACAGAGCATGCTCCTCTTCTCGCTGGGGATGTTGGTATCCGTGCCCACCGTCGTCATCCCCGCGGTCACCAGGTACAGCAACCTCACCGGCTGCAACAGCACCGCTACCTCTCACGATGGCTGCTTCAGGCTCACAGAAGGGGAAGCTTCCACGTTCGGTAAATATTTTATTCATAATTATTTCTTAATTAATATAATCTATTAGAATTAGAATGATTGGGGGAGATCTAGTGAGACAATTGGACCTATTGATACTCTTTGCCTACCCCCAAGCAATGGATAACTAAGTCCTTCATTACAAACATTCTAGTCAAAGTCAATCTCCTCTGTAAAAAATTTAGAATTTTTCATTGACCGAATCCTTTCCTGGCATCACCATATTTCTCAGGACTCCCGAAACGTGATAGCATCTGGAAATTCCTTTTGAGGATTATTCGCCTAAAACGAGAAGGTGGAGTGTAAAACCTTTTCTGGATAGCTTTTTCGTTATCTATTTTTTTTTCTACAGTCGGCTTTACAGACTGTAGATCTTTTGCCGCCTTAACCAGCCTTATCCATTTCTATCTCGCACGGGCTTTTGCTTTCAGTTATCTGTTGCATGCTGTTCTATCCTATTATCTATTGCATCTTCGTTGGTTCGATCCTTCTATCTATTTTTTGGCTTTCCACATGGTCATTTTCCTACAATTAAGGCATCAATTGTTGTGTAAAGGCTTATCACGCGAAAACAGATCTTTTTTGGTTCTTCTCTGCCATAGTCTGTAGTACAGACCCCTTTTTATGAAATTATTAACATCCGCCTGAAACTTTGTAAATAGTTTCATCTCATCGTAGCCTATAAATATTGTATTTGCGAAAATTCTCGGAATAGAGGCGTTTTCAATCTGGAAATCGGCAAGCTTTGTCCTTTTAATTAAGTACTAAAAACTCATGAATACCCATTTGCTTTCCACTTGAAATATATGATAATATGATCATAAAATCGAAAAAAAGGTGGCCTTCAGAAAGATTGGGCCGTTTGGTCTATATAACCTTATCATTTTGACATTTTGGGGGTGAAGGTCACGCCAAACGGTCTAATATTTTTGTTTACCATCTTTTTTTTTCTATTTTGTGTTCATATTATCTCACGATTGAAATGGAAAGCAAATGGATTTTCATGTTGTTTTTTTTATAGTTAATTAATAGAGAAAATCTGTGGATCCTCAGTTCCAAAACGTCCCAATTTTTCGAGAATTTTCGTAAATAAAATATTTAATATGAGGTAAGATAATAGTAAAAAAAAATATAAGGTTACGATGAGATGAAGTTACGTATGAAATTTCAGGTGGATGTTTGATAAAAAGTAGTACCGCGGACTATCATACTCCAGTAATCTGGTCCCAGATAGCTCCAGTTATCATGTAGTGGATCTTTACCTTAAATCTTAGTCCAGGTTTCGTGACCACATCGAACTATATATTCATATAATCAGTTATCATAGCATCCAAATCTATAATGGGCAATTTCTAGAGAATTTGTTTATTTTATATTTGTTCGCTAATATCTCTCTATAATTGAAAAGTTCGTTTCTTCTGTTCATTATTCCTAGAATTGGAGTCTTGAGGTTTTATTTGTTATATAAATTAGGCCATTATTCACCAACATTTTATTTATTAGCTATTTTATTACAACGGCTGGTTACAACGGCTCTTAAATATCAGGACAACTTAATTTTCTAAATATCAGGACAACTTAATTTTCTCTGAAAAAATTAATACGACACTTAATAATGAATATTTAATGGACGACTCAATAAGACTTGAAAATGGTCCTAGAGATTGTCGAAACGTTGTAATAAGACAGCTAATAAATAAAATGTTGGTGAATAATGGCTTAATTTATATAACAAATAAAAAGTTCATTTGTTAGAACGAGCTAATTTCTGTTCACTACGCTCTGAGCTGTGTGTAGTCCTGTTTTTCATGCTTCAGCAGGAAACTATTCCCTATCTAAGGATGCAAATGTCGGAGCATACCACGTCCCTCTGAGCATTAAAAGAGTTTCCCACACAATCACTTTTCGTATGCTTGTCAGATGAAACCTCACTCCAGAACATGTTTGAGGCTCTTTAAAATACGATCTGTGGAGTCATACTCCATTGATCATAATATTCACTTGGGCGTCTAATAATTTAAAACATGGCCATCGCATGACTGTATGTGTAATAAGCGAATTCAAGCATTTTTTTTAACTTTGTTAAAAGAGAAACACGCGCAGAATTTCTGGCATTTAAGCTAGTTTCAATAAGTCATATACAATATCACTAATATACCACATTAAACAATTACCATAATAACACATACATTTTCCGAAACAAAAAAAATTCGAATGCTAGAAATATAAGACTAAATCGCCCACACGTATATCAACATAATTCCATGAATATAGATGAAAAGATAAGACAAAACTAAAAAATTAAAATCGAATAAATAAATAGAAAAAATACATTCTAAATCCACAGTTAATAACTACACAAGTGATAGTGGATGATCCCGAAAGAGCCCAGAATATTTTTATATATATATATATATTTTTTCCCATTGTTGTTTTACAAAAATTACTGTCTGTGTCTTTGTCCTGGATCAACGAGGTATGGGCTAAGAAGTTGAGCCATTAAGTTATTATAGCAAATTTGAAACACTTTAAGCAAATAATGTTCATTTTTATTTCTGAACTATTTTAATTTATTTTATTTTTTTAATTTGGGATCTTTCTAATTTGATTTATTTATAAATCTAAATCCTAGCAACCTGAATTCGAAGTCTGTAGGGATGAACTGTTTCAGTTCCTTCTTGGAAGATGAGTTGAACAAAAACATGCCAAGGAAGAGGGATTTCCTTCAATTCGACAGGAACCGGTCCCTCCCGGTAAGGAGCCCTAAGATAGGATAGGACACAAAAGGAAGGAGAACAATGTTGCGTGGCAGCATCAGCTAGATGTAAATTAAAGATACAGCTGGCCGCTTTCATTCTGTCGGCACTCTTCAAATCAACATCTAAATTGTTTCCTGTGCGTGAAGGACGTCAAGTTATTTTTTTCTGTTTTCTATTGGTGCCGATGTTGCCAAAACGTGTGGTGAGGATCACTCCTAGTTCAATGCTACTCTGTTGTGTTCGCCAACTGACGATGTAATATCAAACTAAAGTATTTCAACATTCTATATTTACATTTTGTTGGCATTTAGAAACTTTTTTGCGGAAACCGATGCAACGGTAGTGTCATTTTATATAATAGATTTTTAACAATAGAACCAAAAACAAACAATAGGAAACTACTAGAATATAACTATATATAGAATATAACAAAAAATAATAATAGAACAGTAAACTATAAAGCAGATACTTAGGCACACACTATTTGAACATAATATCCGATAATAAAATTCAAAAAACAACAATAGACAATAAAAACACAACAAACAGCCATAATGAGAAATAAGAGGTCAGGTACAAAGTGCAGTAATGGAAATAGAGATAGCCACATGTTGGTTGGTGTAATAATGAACAAGAAATGAATGTGTAACACCAAAAAAATATTAAATAAATATTGAATTTTTGACAACTGGTGCCACATCACAAAAGCAAGGTAGATAATTATACAATAGACGGAGTAGATTAATAATGCAAAAAATAGTTCATTTCAAACCTGCATAATTTCAGTAAACATAGGAATACTCTGATGATGGAAAAATTGTCCCAAATCGTAAGATTATAACAGATGTAGTTAAAAAAACTTTAGAAAATGGAAGTAATTTTTGCCTTAACCTTGGAAAAATGTATAAACGTAGGCTTCCTAAAAAAAGAAAAATAAAGCAATAATTTATTTGATTAAACTAATTACATTAACGTATAACTAAATGGTTTTTACCATTATAACCGTTTAAAAAGCGTATGAATAATATTTCTAAAAAGGTTTTAAATAAAAAGTAAATTGTAAGGAAACTTTTAAAATTACTATATTTTTAAGCTTTAAAAAAAAAATTCAGGTAAATAAACCTTTAATAGACACCTTAAGTGAATTTTTCAACATTAAAGTGAACCATAATTTCGATGGTAGAATCATTGAAAATCGATTTAATTGACATCAAATTTAATCTTTAACCAATTTCGTTTTTCTATACAATCAATTAGTATATTATTCATGAAAAACTTCTGAAAATGCTAACAGCGCATTTTGTATTAGTAGTGGACACTCAGGTTTTGAAGTTGATATATTGGTTTATTATTTTCAATAATGAACCATTGTGATCGACCAAAAAATTTATAAACTTAACCCCCTCTCAAAATTAGAGGTTTTACGTTTTAGGATAAGTAGAATTCGAAAACTGAAAAAACATTTTTTTGTCCGTCCGCCGTCAGCGCATTTTCTCCGAAACTACTGGACAGATTTTTTTTTTCAAATTTGGATATAAAATCAGAGGTCGCTGGAGGATGATCCTCTTTCATCGACATTATTATCCGCCATTTACTTTCAAAATGGCAGCCAAAATACCTGCGTTGCTATTGACTGTAGCGCCTAAACGAATGTACCGATTTCAATGAAACTTCGCTAAAGTAATTTTCTCGACGCCCTTTAAATTTAACTATTTAGCATACTTCAACGAAAAGAAGCTGGAAAAAAAGTTACGAGGGATGGTAAAATTAAATTCCGAATAACTCAAAAAGTTTACACTTTTTTGTAGATATTGTATATGTTTTTTTTAAAGATTACGAAATTACGAAATAAATGTTTTTTTTTTATATGTTCTATTCCAAATGTTATATCCTTTGTTTGGTTTTAAATTTTGAACGTGTTACTGGAGTAATGCTATTTTTTTTTCTAATGATTAAAAAAAAAGTTTAGTGCAATAATTGGAATCACCTTTTATTTATTTTTCTTTGTAACTAGGAAGGTAATGTTACTTTATAAGTGTAATTGTGTAATTGTTTGGAAATAATAAGCCATTGTGAAATAATTTGCAGCGGTTTTTCTACAGAAAGAGACCCCCCTATTTTATGATATATACTATAAAATGATTTTTTTTATAATGTAATATATAATTTAAGATATTCTCCCATCCTTCTCTGCCTAAGAATTCTTCTTCTTTGATGTCATGTGCCGCTAGGCTTTCTCCCACAGCGTCTTTCCATTTTACTTTTAATATTCCTTTTTACCTAATCCCTTCTAATTCCAGTTCCAGTTCCAAAAATAACTGTCAAGTCAAGTCAAGAAGAAAAAACACTAATTATTGTCTACTCCGCCTTTTTTTCTGGGACAATAGTTCCCGCTATTAATGTCCTTTCTCTTGCAGCGGGTCTCGTGCTCATCATGCAGCCCCTGGGAAGCTTGCTGGCCGGAGTCATCCAGGAGTCCGTGGGCAGGAAGCTGTGCATGCTGCTGGTGAACATCCCGGAGCTGATAGGTTGGCTGTTCCTATACTACTCCACCAGCAGCTGGCAGCTTTACGCTGCAGCTATCAGCATGGGGTTCAGCATCGGCGTCATGGAAGCCCCGACCTTGTCGTACGTCGGGGAGATCGCCCAGCCTCACCTCCGGGGCGTCCTGGCCTCGTGCACTTCGGTCTACGTTTCGGTCGGCACGCTACTCATGTACTCCTTGGGCACCTTCCTCCACTGGAAGACTGCGATGGCAATCAGTACCTGTGTACCTGTGCTGACGTTCGTAGCCATCCTCCAGGTACGTTACATTGAAATATTAAAACACTTATGATGTCTAAAACAATCAGTATAGATGAAATGTTTTGTGATGCGACAAGCTTCTGACATAAAAAATTAACAAAAATAAAAGAATTTTGTACTAATTTAAGATAAGAGTAATTGTCGCATTTTTCAAATATTTAGAAGACTTTTTTTTATTAAGGAAATTCACAACTGTATTTAATAATAAATACAACAAGTAAATATGAATAAGTAACATGACATGTACAACATGAAGAGAAACCACCCATTGGTAGCACTCCAATTATAATTCTATATTAGAAGGTCCCGAGGCCATCTTCTTATTCATAAATTCAACTCTGATTTATATGAATAAATAAATAATAAATTAAAGATAAAGTTTTGACAACCGGATCGGAAAGACCCCACGCGAGACGAGATGAAAGGATCCGGATAGTGATAAGATGAACCTTATCAGTCTCTTATGATGTAACATATAATTGGTGTAAATAATGCATGAGCTTAGTTTATAATGGAACGCCTGGCTGTAATTGACTGTTTAATACACACCTGCCATGTGTATTAAGTCCCGATTACCATGACAAGAATCCATCAATACCTTATTTATGCCTAATAAGGTAAGCGAAGAATATAAGTAGTATTTAAATCGCTTGATGCCTAGGCAACGTGTCTAATTTTGCCTTTATAGGAGAGCGAAAATTTGAAACATTTTTGATCCGACTAAGCGAAGGGTTATGTGTTTGGGTCGTCCGCTTAAAGCTACATAACACTTTTTTAATCGAACCGCTGCACGGTGGGACGAGTAAGGGAAAACTCACATCAGCTAAAATTATTTTTTTGTTATAACTCCAAAATCTATATAAACTGTTTCATTGATGCCTTCTAGAATTGTTTATAATATTTTTAACTAGTAGGCCCGTGAGGAAAATCGCATATTATATTGTTCAGTGATCAAAAAATAAATTAATAATGAATATTTAATAGTTGACCGTTGCATTATAAAGGAAGGAGATGGTCCGGGGTTGCGGTCATAAATAGGCTAAATAGTGGTAAAACTATTTTATTGAAAGCCCCGGACCATCTCCTTCCTTAATAAATTAATAAGAAAATAAAATAATACAACGTATCATAAAAGAAATCTACTGTTACTTTCTCCCTAAATATAATCGATAAAGGAAACACATGGTATATTAAAGTCGTTATGGATGATTTTATATGTGACAAAGTAGGGAGCATTGAGGATTTTACGAAGGAATTTGGATTGTAAGGATTGGATACGAGAGGAATTTGATGGTTTAGTAGAGCTTCAAAGCCCGATCCATTAACTTCAAATAGGCCCTTATAACAGTAATATATACGAGTACTTTGTAAATATTATCGGTCCCTAAATTTTTTTTTGGGGGGGAGAGGGGAAGATTGCAGTCATTTGAAGTAGAGTTACATATACATATAAATAATATACACATACACATTCATTGTATTTTTATTTTCGTTTTGGTATAAATTCCAAGCCTTCATCAGAGCTGCTGGTTCGAGTTTCGAGTTTAAATTCTCATATACGAATAAAGAAAAAAAAAATACAGACATATAATGTCTCTGCTATCGAAAATAAAAAAACATTGATTCAAAGAAAAAATAAAGTGCCTTTCTAAAATCAATAGCGCTTGATAAAATACCAATCCGCCTCTGGACATAACTTCAAAAAACACTGTTATCATATATTTATTTTTATTTTTATTTTTTTTAACTTCCAACAGTTTGTGTGGCCGCCACTTGTACGATTTTAAATTTGCAGATATATTCCTGAATTTGAATATTGACCGCATTATTATTCCGGTTCTAAAAAAAAATAAAATCTCTGAAATAAAATGGAATTGGAACATTCAGTACATGCCACTTTCTGGGTTCTGATAATATTACAAGTAATTTATACAATTCATTCGAATATAATCTTGAAAATTATATCTAAAATACGTTATGACTATCGGTATATATATTAAATGTCATCATCAATAATGTTTATTTTCAATTAAACTACTTGTTCATACTCATATACATAATTAATGTACTCAACAATTAATTAATATGTTATATACAATATTTTAATAAAGACCTATTTTAGTTTTAGAAACTGATCATTAATCTCCTACAGCTATGAATTAAGAAAAAGTAGTTTCATCTCATCGTAACCTAATCAAATATTTTATTTACGAAAACTCTTGGAATTGGTAAAAGATCGTTAAACGTTGTCTATTTAATTAATAAAAACTCGTAAATACGCATTTGCTTTTAACTTGGATTGTAAGATAATTTGATCCTAAAATACAAAAAAATGGGTTGTTTGGCGTGTTTAACCTCGTTATTTTAAAATATTAGGATGTAGGTAATGAAATTATCTTACAATTCAAGTAAAGTTTGCCTATCTGGAAATTGAAACCGAACCAATTCCTAGGATTTTCGTAAATAAAATAGTTGTAGGTTACGATGAGATGAAGCTATTTACGGAAATTCAGGTGGATGTTAATAATTTGATAAAAATGAGTCTGTACTACATTCTATGAAGTTTACCAATAAATTACTGCTTTCCCAACCCATATCAATAACTTTCACATTTCAGTAATTTATTTTTATTTTTTTAATTTATATATATTTTTATCGTTAAATTAGATTCTGTCAAACTGAGGACCTTAATAACAATGATAAAATAGTTCAAAATTTATTCCTTTATAAGGTAAAAATATCGAAAAACTTCTCAACCTTTTTTTTATATGTATTTAGTTCTAATTATGGTCGGGTTCGTGCTATTTCGTTAGTCTACAAAGCCCTAAATCCCTGAAAAATATAGTGTGGGTCATTGTTCCTCGCCCGTTCCAAAAAAAAAAAAAGAAAAAGAAAAAAAAAAGAAACGGTTTTAGTTAATCACAGTTTGCTCCTGGTTCGGTACACGGGTTAGCCACCGCATCCCTCGGTCCAACGAAAATGTATTTAAGCGTTATTTGAGTTGTGAAAAACGGATATTAACTTTTTTTCCCTTTAAAAAATATTTACTCCAGAATTTTTATCACTGCTTCCAATTTTGCTAAACCAAGATTGACTAGAATATTGAAACAAATTGTGTCGCTCCGAATCACCAACGAAAATTTGGTTGAAATCGGTATATATTGAATCGAAACTATAGGTTCAAGACGTACGTTTACAGGATAGATATTCGATGACAGATCGCTACCTTGAAGATAAACAATTCCTAGACTTACGTAACTACCGCTGGCCTTCATCAACGTACGAATTCCTTGTGCACGTGTTTATTGACAGCATTTTTCGTTGACTTTCGGGCTAAACTTCATAAATTTCGCAATCTTATATATTTTTATTTTATTAAGCATACAGTAAAAAAGTCCATTAATGACTTTTACCAAGGTATTATGATTTTATTTTTGTGTGCGTGAAGATTATGACTACCTTTCTTATACCTGAACGCATAAATACTACAAAATACTTCCTTTTATTAAAATAATATTTAAAATATGAGAAATTTAAGTATAATACAAAATAATACAAACAAATTTTTTTTCCACTCACACAACTTTCCTAAACATTTCAGAAAAAATTTGATATCTTGAAATATGTTAAATGAAAAATTAATTAGATTTATTTTCCTGAAAATTAATCAAAGAAAAGATTTGAGAACGATTTCTTTGATAAACTAAAGCAATGTAAGCCGAATTATGGCGAATTAGTGTAAACATTTCAATACCCCCTAATATTGCCAATCAAAAACTTTTTGCCATAGCCTAATTTTATCACACAATAATTTCTGTTAAAAGTAGAGGAAATAGTGAAACTTGTGAATCTGATGCGGGCAACAGATTTCCTTTTTTCTTTCTGACACCAGAATATGACCCCGCAATCGTACATACAAAATAAAATAGCTCTAACTTCGTTAATAATTGTCTGAAAGAAACGACTTTTATATAGTTTTGTAGAGAATTTCATTACCTTTAAAAAAACAGGGGGCTTTGCAACGTACAGATCGAAAACCGCATATTGGAAATTTGACCCGTTCACAATACTTTCATTACCTAGTATAGGTAGGAAAGTAATAAGTTAAAACATGTGTAGAAAAGAGAATACGCTGTATCATCGCTAATACTGGTTCGATTCCGATGACTTTTTTTTTGTTTTGTTGGTAATTTAATTACCTTTCAAATGTTTTACTATAGATTTTACCATAGAATATACACTAAGCGAGCTGGCCCCAAAACATTTTTCTTTTCTTTTCCTTATAACTTTTTTTCTAAATTTTCTCATTCATCAAAGTTTCATCAAAATCGTTAGAAATAGAAAATATATGTTTTTTACTTATTGCGCTGCCGCCATTGTGTCACAGGCATCAGTAGTCAAAACCCTACAAAATGAGAAAAAGAAGCAATAAAATCAGTTCACTAGTTTCTGAGATAATCTTAGCACAGGCAGACAGACAGACAGACCAATGGCTGAAAATGTGTTTTTCGGACTCAAGGGGCTCTGAAACGTATAGATCCGTCGAGAACCGCATATCGGAAATTTGACCAGATCGCAATACTTTCCTTGATTAGTGTAGGTAGGAAAATAAAAAAAATCTGTCAAGCAAGGTCAGTATAATAGCTAAATATTAACAGGGTATTAAATAAATACTGATATAAACAACATTTGCAGGACGGTGGCAGGAAAACATTGCGTAACTCATTTCATAGTGGACATTTAAACCTTTTTCTTAACAATGATTAGATCACCCAGTATTTGTTGGTGCCGACTAATTTCAAATATACCAAATTATTAATGCAGATCAGACTCTCGAGAAAATATATGATCAAGATTTTAGTTAACAATACAATTGTAAAAGTTACCCCAAAACTTTATTGCAAAATGTGCAACACTAAAGAAAAAGAGATTCTTTATCATATATTATTTAAATGCCCAATTTACAGTAGTTTAAGAAAAAGAATTTACTAGGGTATG